GAACAGTCGCTGGAGAAGGATGTCATGCTGGGTAAGATGGAGGGTCAGAGAAAAAGAGGAAGACCCCCAACGAGATGGATCAGCCAGGTGGCATCGTTGATGGCGTCAAGTGAGGTTGGCCCAGGATCAGACATTGTTTTGTTCTTCTGTGCATGGGGTCGCTATGAGTCGGTGCCTACTCGATGGCACCTGACAACAACAACAACATCATGAAAAAATATTTTCTTCATGATTGTTATTTTTTGCTGTTGAGTTGATTCCAGCCCATAGCAACACTGAATAGGGTTTCTGAGGAGTAGCTGCTGAGTTTGAACTGCCTACCACGTGATTCAAAGTCACTTTGCTGTCCAGTGCATTAACCCACACCTTAATGATAACAGTTACATAATATTCTTTAAACTTACTGATAAATTTAATAAAATACATAATTATTTCTATTAATCCCATTTTGAAATTATTTCACAATATAGAGTCCAGATATGGCATTGTAGAATATGCCCTGGACTGCTAACAATAAAGTAAGTGTTTCAAACTCACTAACCACTGCTCCTTGGAAACTCTGCACAGGGTTGCTATGGGTCAGAATCGATTCAACAACACTTAACAACAACAACATAATTGCAAATGAGATACAAGTGAAAAAGTAATTTAATTCTATATATACAGAATAACTAATATTAATGTGATTGATTCCTATTCCATTGTTGATATATTTTATAACATTGTTATTATACCAAGTGTGATCCATGTTCCTATTTTCTTTATTTTCAGATACTCAACTCATTTTTTATAACACACATCAAATTGACATAGATGGAAATACAGAGAAACATCTCAGAATTTATTCTTTTGGGACTTTCTCATGACCCAAATATACAACTCTTTTGCTTTGTACTTTTCTTATTTTGTTATGTTTCCCTCTTGATAGGAAACCTTCTAATTCTTGTTTCCATTCAATGCAGCTCCCTCTTTCAACAACCAATGTACTATTTCCTCAGCCACTTGTCTTCTGTGGACATCCTGTATACTTCTAGTGTCACACCCAAACTGATTGGTGACCTGCTAGCGAAGACAAAATCCATCTCTTATGTTAGTTGCATGCTGCAGGTCTTTAGCATGCACTTCTTTGGCAGTATTGAGGTCTTCATACTTACTGCCATGGCTTTTGATCGCTATGTTGCCATCTGCAAACCTCTCCACTACATGATCATCATGAACAAAACAAAATGCGGTCTCCTTGTCTTAGCTGCCTGGGCAGGTGGGGCAGTCCATTCCTTTCCTCAATTATCTATGACAATCAGGTTGCCCTTTTGTGGTCCTAATGAAATTGATCATTATTTTTGTGATGTATTGCCTTTGTTAAAAGTTGCCTGTACTGATACCTATATCACTGGTGTTCTTGTGGTTGCCAATTCAGGTATGGTTGCCTTAGTAACCTTTATTGTCTTAGTTGTTTCTTATGCTATTATATTATTCACCTTAAGAAATCACTCAGCTGAGGGAAGACGCAAAGCCTTGTCTACTTGTGGCTCTCATATCACTGTGGTGGTCTTATTTTTTGGGCCTTCGATCTTTGCCTACCTTAGACCTCCTACCACATTCCCTGAGGATAAAGTCTTTGCACTCTTTTACACCATCGTTGCTCCTATGTTCAACCCCTTAATCTATACCCTGAGAAACACAGAGATGAAAAGTGCCATGAGGAAAGTTTGGTGTCAAGCTTATTCTCAAAGGAAGCACTCAATCAATTTGAAGACTAACAGTTAAACAACTTTATAAAATCACGTGCTTGATTGCAGTATTAAAGTGTTAGAAAGTATCTCATAATTTATGTTTCTATTGTTAATATGAATGGGTTAACTGTGGCAAATAAGATTTAGGTATTCAAGTAACATTATATTCACTAAAATAATAATTATTTATTAATCTACTATGCAAACTTTAGTAGAAATCATAGTTAACTTGGTATTAAGTGGTTATAGGGAGAATTAACCGCTTAAAATATCTTCTAGGCTAGTCCAGTTAATAAGATGATAGACTGAGCAGATAATTATAATGAAAACATTTTTAATGATAATTTTATTTAAAACTTTAGAAATGACTACATACCCAGATGGTGACAGATATTCTTCAGTCATGAAGAAGTGAAAATTTATAATTTGAGTAATAAGTTTTGGTATCTGCTAGCATATTTACTCAAGCTCTGATGTGGTGCTGTAGGATAAGCACTTGACCACAAGGTTGGTTTGAACCACAAGGTCAGTAGTTTATACTTAACAGCTGCTCCTTGGAAACCCAGGGTCGCTATGAGTCAGTCTGACTTGATGACACTTAACAACAACAGCAACAATAACAGTATATTCACCTGTTTATAGTCTAGTGATGAAATCAGTGTAGTAGAATCTCTTCCAAAATGGTCTCAGTGCCAGCTCTCTTGACTTCTTTTTATAAAAATAACAGCTCCTTGGAAATCCTCCATAGGGTTACTATGAATCAAAGCTTACTTGGCAGCACTTAAATAACAACCAATAGCAAATGGTCTGAAATGGATCATATTAGAAAATCTTGGATAGAGTGGGAGAAAATGTCAAAATAAAATCATAAAAAAAAAGATTAGATTCACTTCTCAGAGATTGGTAGAAATCCCAATGTCATTCCTTTTAATCACTCTTCAAGTCTGGAACTGAAATTGCCCCTATGGCTCAATTCACTGCAAGGCAATAGACAGGTCTGTTAGGGAAACAACAACATAGTGAGGTATGTATACCTAGAATAATCTACCATTCAAGATCAAGAGAGTAGCATTTACCCAAGGACAAAGTTTGGAAAGATTAGAGTAGAAAGAGAAATAGAAACAAGAAACACAGGGAAGGAATGGAATAAATGATGTTACATTGAGGGGATTTTAATCTATGAAATAAAACAAAATATGTATAAATTAGTGAATATAAAACTGATGATTGCTTTGTAAATCTTCACCCAATTCAAAATAAAAAGTAAATATATAAATATATTGTTGTAGTTGTTAATTGCGATCGAGTTGGTTCCCCCCCCCCATAGCGTCCCTGTATAGAGTTTTTGAAGAGCAGCTGGTGAGCTTGAACTGCCAACCTTGCGGTTTAAACTGACTTTGATGCCAATCTCAAGGTCAGCAGTTCAAAGCTACCAGCTGTTCTGCAGGAGAAAAATGAGGCTTTCTGCTCCCATAAAGATTTACATCCTCAGAAACCCTATGTAGGATTGCTAAGAGTTACAACTGACTCCATAGCACATAACCACCAACAACCACCATGGTCACCACTAACTAGATGGCAGTGGGATTTTGAGTCCTGGTGTGGCACTGCGGGTTAATACATTGGACTACAAGGTTGGTTTGAATCGAAAGGTTGGCGTTTCAAGCTTACCAGCTGCTCCTCAGAAACCCTACATATACAAGGTCACTATGGGTTGGAACTGACTCCATGACACTGAATAACAACAACATTTTGTTGGGGAGAGCAGTGGCTCTATAGGATAAACACCAGACTGTGCACCAGAATGTCAGTGGTTTGAACCAACCAGTGGGAGGAAGATGAGATTCACAGCCTTGGAAAATCTACATAGGCTTGCTATGAGTCAGAACCAACTTAATAGTATTTAACAATAATATTTTGCCTGAATGGAGGGAATTATGAGAAAGTTGTTTCTCTACAATTCCATTTATGTATTTGCTTAATATTTTATTTATTTCAGAATAAACCACTGCATGTTGATCTTATACTTTATGTTTAAATCAATGGCCTCAATATACATTTTTGCTGCTCAAAATATTTTTTTTGACAACAGGAAACATTTTCATGTAGTTTCCTATGCCCATTTGAAATACTCCCATCCTTGTATATTTCTGAGCAATTCTTTATATTGTTGTTTTTAAGTTCTGCTGAGTCAATTCTGACTCATACAGACCCTATGTTCAGAATGAAACACTGCCTGGTCTTGTGCTATCTTTAAAATCATTGCCATGTTTGAGCCCATTGTTGAAGCCACTGTCAATGCATCTCATTGAGGATTGTCCTTTTTTATATTGACACTACCAGGCAGCATGATCTTCTCTAGGGTCTAGTCCTCTTGGTAATACGTGCAAAATACATTAAACAAAGTCTCACCTTCCTCATGTTCAATACCATTCTGGCTATATTTCTTCCAAGAGAGATTTATTTCTTCTCCTAGAAGTTCATGATGTATCACTATTCTTTGCTAACACCATAATTCAAATGCATGAATTCTTCTTCGATCCTCTTTATGCATCATCCAGCTTTCACTTGCACATTTTTAAATAATACTACAGATGCTGATTTCATTTTCTACTTCCCCTACTTCAATCATAGAATTATTAATTTCTTCAAAAGGATCTACTTTCTTTTTATTGGACAATTGGATTTAGAAACAAGATATGGCACTGTGGGTTAATGTGTCAGACTGCAAAGTAGTTTGAACTGCAAGGTCGGTGGTTCAAGGTCATCACTATGGGTTGGAATTAACTTGATGGCACTTAACAATAACAATAACATATAATTACTGGAAATGTTTATTGTTATGGGGGTGCCATTTATTCTAGTGGTCTCAGCAAACAGAGTTAGATAACAGATTACCTGCATACTAACCCAACTTAACAAATATCTATCATTTGTATCTCTTGCTCCTGCTCTCTGAATCACTCTCACTTCCTTTGGATGAATCTAACCATGAATTCATACTGAAATCTTTGTCTCTAATCCAATAATACAGAATTCAGTTTAGACTTTCTTCCTTGTTTACCTGTTATTTCCCTGTATGACAATGAGAAAATTATTTCATACCATTCACCATCTCTTTATATTTTTGTACTTAATTGATTGTTTAAAGAAATAAGAGTAATGTAATTCACAATACTAATTTTAAAAACTAGAAATCATGTCAGTAGACACAGAAAAAAATGTTTCAGAAAAATTCAGTGTAGACTTATGATAAAAACTCTTAGAAAAGTAGATACAACATTGAACTCTCTTAACGTAATTAAGGATACCTATGAAAAATGGATAGCAAACATTGTGGTGAGACACTAAAATATTTTATCTTAAGAGCTAGAACAATATACTGATTCCCTTTTCACCACTCATTATCCAACATTGTTCTGGAAGTATACAAAAGAAAAAAAAAAACACCATAAGGAAATAAAAGTTAAAAAGATTTTAATAAAAATCTCTCCTTGTTTCCATATATAATTATGTTAAAATTCCAAAGAAATTATAAAAGCAAAAATAGAAACATTTATAATGAATAAGTGAGTTTAACAAGTTAGCAGGATACACAGTTCACATACATAATTGATTGTATTCCTTGATACCAACAAAGAAATACTGAAATCTAAAATAAAATATATATACATATTCATTTATCTATATCTATAACTATAGCTCTGGTAGTGTAGTGCTTACGAAATGAGCTGCGAACCTTGAGGTCAGCGGTTTGAAACTACCAGCCGCTCCGCGGGAGAAAGATGAGGCTTTCTACTCCCGTAAAGATTTAGACCCTCGGAAACCCCTAGAGGGTCGCTATGGGTCAGAACTGACTCAACAGCACTTAACAACAACAACAATATCTACAAATATGTATATATTTGTATATGCCTGGTGTGGTGCTGTGGGCTAATGCATCAGACTCCAAGTCGATTCAACTGCAAGGTCAATAGTTTAAGCTCACCAGCAGTTCCTTGGAAACCCTATACAAGGTCACTAGGGGTCGGAATCAAATCATTGGCACTTAATAACAACAACAACAACAATATATACAAAACATATACAAAATATTATTTAACAAGCTGAGGCGGTTTAGCAGTTAAGTGCTCAGCGGCTAGTTATAAACCACCACTCCTTTCAGGGGAGAAAGGTGTGGCAGTCTGATTTTGTAAAGGTTTACAGCCTCAGAAACCCATTGCCACAGTTATACTCAGTCCTATAAGTATAATCCATGAGTCAGAATTGATTTGAACGTAATGAGTTATAATCATTTGTAACAGCATCTGTGGTTATTAGTTGTCAATAAATTGTCTCAGACTCGTGGACACTTTCCTATTTGATCTGTTGTTGTTGTTAGGTGCCATCGAGTTGCTACCACCTATAGTGACCTTATGGACAGCAGAACCAAGCACTGCCCAATCCGGGGCCAACCTCACTACTGTTGCAATGCTTGAGTACATCGATACTGCTACTTGGCCAATCCATCTCATTGGGGGTCTTCCTCCTTTTCTCTGACCGTCCACCTTACCAAACATGATATCCTTCTCCAGTGACTGGTCCTTTCTGACAATATGCACAACGTATGAAAGACGAAGTTTGGCCATCTTGGACTCCAAGGAGCACACTGGCTACAATTTTCTGAAAAGGATCTATTGGTTCTTTTGGCAGCCCATGACACTTTGAATATTCTCCTCCAACCCCATAACTCAAAAGCATCAATTCTCCTACGGTCTTCTTTATTCCCTGTGCTGCTTTTGCAAGCATATGAAGTTATTGATAATACCATGGCTTGGGTCAGGCACACCTTAGTCCTCAAGCTGACATCTTTGCTCTTCA